GGCGGCGACGGCGGGGACAGTCGCGGGAGGCCCAACGGGAGCCACCGACGCCTGCTCAGCCACAGCGCGAGCCGCCACCGCCGGCGCCCCCCGCCGCGGTCGCCGCACCCTCGGTGCCCTCCGTGCAGCCGCAGCCTAGGGCCCGGGAGAGCGCCGAGCTACCGCTGCCCGACGGCTGGGAGGAGGCGCGCGACTACGACGGCCGCGTCTTCTACATCGACCATAACACACGCCAGACGTCGTGGATCGACCCCCGCGACCGGTAAGTGGGCTAGCGGGGCCCGCAGAACCGGGCGCGGGTGCCACCGCAGGGGATGCGCTGGCAACACGCCTAGCCCGGCTGGGAATGACCGAGAACGCTCCAGGTACCCCTGTCATTGGGTCCAAGGACTAGGATTGGTGCTGTGATCTAGATCCCGGAATCTCCACTCACAGGACTGAGACTTGTCTATAGCCTCCAAATTCTGGCTGATCGTGGTGGCTCCAATCTTTGGGCCCAGGGAGAGGATGGAGCACAGGAGGTCCCTGAATCTGGGTGAAGTTCCTGCGTCCGTGATGTTAGGAGGAGGATTTGGGCTCCTCCACCCCCACATCCCTATTCCCAGGGCTCCGACCTGGGATGGAGACGCGGGCTCAAGACCCCCGAGTTCACAGAGCTCTGAGCCTAGATCTCCCGGCCCCCTGTCGCGGGGCGGACACTGATTCAGTTCCCTCACGTCACTCGCTGTCCGTGGCCTGGGAGCTGGGCCCCTGGAATTTCCTCTCTGGAGTCTGACGGATGGCCCTCTTTTCCTTTTTCTGTGGTGGCCTCGCCCATCCATACCCCGAGCTTTTGGCGGCCCACCGCCCTAGCCCAGGCGGGATAAGCATTCCCTGGCAGGAGCCGGATGCGCTGTCACCTTAGATCACAAACGTGTGCCCCAGCTTCGGGAAATGGGTTCCTTGCCTGGAGGGCTTGGGCTGGTTTTCATCGAAAGCCTGGTGCCAGACGGGCATTAAAAGTATTTCCAACCCCTCTGGAGTCAGGAAAAGACTGTTCCCAAACTCGTTTTGGTGCTTTAGCGCCTTTAAAATCTAGTGAGTTAAAATTCTGTTTGAAATAGCCTTGTGTATTGTGGCCAGAATGGGATATGATTAGTCCCATATGCTTTTGGAATAAGTGAAAAACAAGACTCGTATTTTAAGTTTTTTCTGCATGATATACACAGGGCACAAAGTTGTCCGGTTCATGTAAATAAATCTGAACAAGTAAAAACAGATTCTTCTAAAAGCATTACAAGATTTCATTTAATTAATTTCGTGTAATAAAAGTTTCCTGGTTCCATTGGGTCAACTACTTTTGGAGGTGTGTGTGTGTGTGTGTGTGTGTGTGTGTGTGTGTGTGTGTGTTTGTGTGTGCATGTGTGTGTCTGTAAGTAAATGGGAATTCTGCTGAAACCAAGTGTTTCCACTGGTTATCTGATATCTTGTCCTCTCTGGAGCAAGTTCTCTCCACCCTGGCCTGAGTGCCAAAAAGGAAATACTGTAGGCTTCCTAGTGATTTCAAGACTTGAAAAGGCCCGTGTGGTGACATTGTGCCTGCTTCCTCCCACCTACACAGGAAAGACAGGCAGCATGGCACTGGCTTTTGAAAATAAACCTTTGAGAAGGGAAACTGCTAAGTTTTTTGAAGATTTCTATGGGTTTAGATGGGGCAAAACAAAGCAAATATAAAGCATAGTGCTTCCCAAACATTCCCTCCAAACTTTGCAGACCTCTGGACTCAGAAGCCTACAAAAAACTCTATCCCAATTTTATGGGTTCAAAGGATGCTTATTTTGAAAATCAGGTGACTCATTTAATTTTAACCAAATTCAAGAGCCACATCTGTTTGATCAAACCTTGAGTGATTCTGGAATTGGTAGAAATAGTTGGTGTTTTGTGTCGTATGTCTGTTAAAATCTGAAACAACAGGAAAACGAACCAATTGGAATAGTATTTTAAACAGGGCATGGTACTGCATGTCTGTAATGCCTTGGGAGAATGAGGCAGGAGGATCAAGGGTTTGAGGAAAGGACTGCATAGCAAAACTCTGTCTCACAAAATGTGTTTTGCTTAGAAAAGTGTCAGCCTTAGTTTATAAGGGAAATATAACACAGTTGTGGCCATATACAATGGAGAGTCATAATAAGGTATTAATGTAAGAATTTTTATTTTAATGATATAACCTGAAATAAAGGTCCATAGACCCTAAGGAATCAGCTTGTAGGATCTATATTCCTTTGTGTTTCGTACACATTTCTATGTTCCCTTTTCCAGAAATCTGTTTTGTCCCTGAATATAATTTTTTACCCTTTTCAGACATTACTTAGGTTGCAGGGTTTTTGTTTTGTTTTGTTTTGTTTTTTACTCATTTCTAAGTGCTAAGTGTTGATTGAATGAACAAAAGGAGATATTTTACATTTTTTGCAAAGTAAAAACATGTGTGTACTTTTCTGAGACATTGTTTTCATAGTGAGTGAAAATTCAGCTGGGGACAGCTTGAACTTCAGCTCCCATAATACCTTGCCCGAAATATGTCTGGAATGTTCAGTAAGCCACAAACATTTCAGTGGAGTCTGCTGAAGGGTGCACTGCTCATTCTTCTTCCTCTTTCAAAACACAAAGTTGATGATTTTTATAGTGACTGGGAATCCTTTAAGGTTGTAATTAGCTTTTATTATATGGACAAGTCTATATGTCAGAGGGCTGCATTTTCTCCATGCGCATCTGACAGTTTTCGAATCTTGCTTCATTCACAGGACTGGAAAATGACGTTTAAGAAATGAGAACTTTCACCATACAGCTTCCAAATAGAGAACTGACAGGAGAGGCAAAACCAAAGTTTTTTTTAAAGAAAATGAAAGTATGGAATAATAAACAGAGATAGTAGGTTAGGTGAAAGTTGTTGTTGACTTTGAACATTAATTCATGTCTAATCACTAAAAAATTCAATAGCATGAAATATGCTGTTGTAAGCAAAATAACGGAGGGCCAAAGGATGTGAACAAAATTTTTGCTAGAATGTTATAGTAACTCTGTTCAGTGTTATGTTTAATACTATTTTATTTCCAGTTGAGCATATTGGTGAATTACTGGAAATTCCAATTTTAAAAATTACAACAAAGAGCATGCAAGTGTAAGGAAACATCTTTACAGATGTGGCTACAGTTGTATATTTTAAAAGGCTACTTATTTTAGAATTATAACTTCTTAGTTTTACTGTGACCCTCCCTTGGGTTTAAATTTATTATTTTAAATATCAATATTGTTCATATAATTTCCATAGTTAATTTAATGGGAATTGTATCCAAAAATGTTGTTGCAAAGTTATTTTGCCATTTCTATGGCTTGATGGATACTTGAATAAGTCACTTGTAGTTTATATATATTTTGCATGTGTTAACTCAGAGTGCAGTGACCACTTCATAAAAGGTTATTTATTACTTGGCAAAAAATAGAAGAAAAATTTTGCTTATTTTGTAAAAATTCAGTGCCTTTAACAGTTGTATGTATATGTGCCTCCTGCAAAGTTCTCTTGAATTACCCTGTATAAGGATCCAGTTGCAACTGGACAATCTATTTCCTGTAGCTTAGTGGTAGTTATATAGTACTAGAGATATCAGCTCCAAGCATCTAAAGAATGGTGGGCAAAATGACATCTGAGGGTTGTGAGATAGCTTAGTGGGTACAGATGCGTTCTGCCATGTCTGATGACCTCACTTTTATCCCCCTGACCTAGGTGGTAGAAGGAGAGAACTGACCCCTGCAACTTGTCCTCTCATCTTCATATGTGCACCTTGACCCCCTTTCCCTGATTTAAAAAAAAAACACTGCAGAAATCACATTTGAGATTAGTGAAGTGTAAATATATCACGATAATCGTGGACTGCTATGATTATGCCAAGGTATGAGATTTGCAGCCCATTTGTTCACTAGTTTTGACCCTGTGCCACATAGAGGGATTCTGTGGCATATTAAAAGTCCTTTCAGCAGGCTTCTTAATTTTTACAAAGGAAAAAAATACATAAAATTTATTACATGCCTAAGACATGGGAGTATTTGACTCCAGGATTTTGTCTTAAGGAGAAAACAGTCCTTGGCTCTGGGTTTGCTAAGTTGGAGCCCTGTATAACAGAGCCAGACACCACTGCTACTTTCTTGGAACCATTATTCAGTATTAATTAATAGTAGCTTGACTATATTTACCTCACAGAGTCTATTTCTGGGTTATGTGAACTGTCTAGGTTGAGCTTTCTGATAAACAACTTAATGATTTTTCCATTTTTCAATCTTTAAGATTCTAGATAGTGTTTGTATGAACATGGTGAAGTTTCTTGCTTTTAAAACCATCAGGGGTGAGCCCCTGGAAGAATCTTCCTTTTGTTTCCATTTAGATGTCAATTACTACTTCTTGATCTAATATCTTTCTTTTCTTTCCTTCTCTTTTTTTTTCCCCAAGAAAAAAAGTAAATGGAAAAGTCATTGATTTCCAAAAATAACTCTCGGATGTTTAGAAATCTCCAAGTTTCCTTCTCTTTCCTTTCACTCTAACTTGGGAAGTGGAAATAATGTGTATTACAGTCTCTGGTAGGTTCACTTCAGGAAACTGTGGGTCAACTGACATGTCAGGGTCACCTGGTAAGCCTGAGGTAGGCCTTTTAATTTCTTGCCCAGGGCCTTCTGCTAATGTTGTCTGGCTTTCCAGTAAAATTATTCCAGTGGAATAAAAGTAAAGCTAAATTTTGTAGAACTCATTTGCCCCCATTTAAACCTAATAAAACAAAGAAATATTTATGAAAACTCTTGGCCTCCCATGTGCTGGGACAGTATGTGGAGAACAGGTTTTTCTAGGAGATGGGTAATATATGAAATAAGAGCCATAATCGTCATAAGGCATGTCATGATTAATTGAGTTCCTCGGATGAGAATCATTTCCAAGAAGAAAAAGAGAGCTCTTTCTCTTTTTAACATGTACTATTTATTAATATATACTTTTTTATTGTATATGAGTGCACCCATGTTGTGCATGATCAGTGTGCTGCAGAGGTCAGAAAAGGGCTTCAGATTCCCCTGGAACTGAAGTTAAGGATGGTTTGTAGCCGCCATGTGGGTGCTGGGAATCGAACCCAGGTCCTCTTCAAGAGCAGTCAGTGCTCTTAACCGCTGAGCCATCTCTCCAGCCCCTTTTTAAATATATTTTTATTGAGAATTTTATTTATGTATATTATGTTTTGATCAGAT